GATTGCCAGGGCTTCCCACTGGGAATAAATGCAGGCAGGGCAGAAAATGAACCTCGAGAAGCTTTGTGAGATAGAACAACTCTGTCATCCTCTGAGAGCAAAGGAGCTTTTGGGGAGGAATGTCCCTAGAGTTCCTCCCTGTGGGAGCAGTGATTTCCTGCTGAAATCAGTGGCTGCCAATGGCTTTGGTTTAAAGGATGAAAAAAACTCCTTTTCCTTCTCCTTTCCAGATCCAGCCAAACCAGCAGCACTTGACTCATCCACAGCCCAACCAAGGGTCCCACTGGCCCCCGAAATTACAATACTGAACACTGGATATTTGGGATTACAAGAAATGCCAATTAAAAAACAAAGTAAGTCTCATCTACCTATTTGTTCTGACACAGAGATTCTTTGAGCCAGGCTGTTCACAGCCAGGATGTTCTTTCTCAGTAACTTGATTTCAGAGTTTATTAAAATGCAAACTGCATTAAGGGCAGCCCACGGCAGTGCAGCTCTGCAGGCAGAGCAGAGGCTGAACAGGGGTATGCAGATATGAAATAAAGCACAACCTGGTGACCCTTCCTTCTCTTCCTTCTCTTCTGCCTGAGGTTTTGTCCCCTCACATTCAGCTGTGCTGGATCAATTACTCAAAGTGGGTTGAAAACACAATCCAAGAAGGCCAGTGATGGTGAAGAGCTTTGGGAGATGCCCTTGCTCGAGGCTGAGCTCCTCTCTGCAAGCCTAATTTCTGACAAATTTTTATAACAACAGGAATTACCTGCAGATGCTGATTTCAAACCTGCATTGCAATCTGCAACAGTGGCAAATGAGTTCCCAGAATATTCCACAAGTCCCCTGCCACCAGAGCAGAACTTTTGTGCCAGGTATGTTCTTCTCTCTGTCAGGATTTTTCACAGAGGAGCACAGAGGGAAGAAAGAGAAAACAATTTCTACTTCTGCTCCTTGTTTTCCCATTTGGAATGTGCTTGGAGAATTGTTTCCCTGGGGTGAGTGCTTGGTTGGATTCTGGTGAGGATTGTTTGAGCTGGTGGCCAATCCAACCCACGTGGGGCTGGACTCTCAGAGAGGGTCACGAGTTGTGAGGAGTTAGATTTGGTAGTTAGAAAAAGTAGGTTTGTCATTTTAGTATCTCTTTAAATAGTATATTAATGTATTATAGCATAGTTATAATAAAGAAATCATTCAGCCTTCTGAACTGGAGTCAGACATCAGCATTCCTTCCCACCAAGTTCACCTGCATTTACAATAAACTTTCACTTGCAAACTGTAATGGTGAAACCAACCCTTTGTATTGCCACTATTTTAACCCTTTTAATAACATTTTAACTAATTTTCTTAAGATGCTGGCACTCAGTAATTGTGGTATTACTCAAATTGATAGGTGTAAAAATGCAAAGGTCAAATTGCTGAGAGAACTTTATCCCCCATGTAACACCCCAATGCCCCTTTTTGGTGCCTGCCTTTTCTTCAGCTGGCCTATCCCCACTCCAGAAAATGAACTAACAAAAATATTTTTATTGATTTTTTTTTTTTCTGGCAAGGTCAATTTAGTTATTTTCAGCAACAATTCCAGGTGCTCTGAGTCTCCTCCTGTGTGAGCTCCCCAGCCCCTGCTGGTGCAGGTCTGAAGGGATAATTAAAGCAGCAGAATCTGTCATTATCCTGCACGAGGTTCATGTCAGTGTGATCACGAGTGTGGAAAGAGCAGGGGAAGCTTGAGGTGGAGTTTACTCATGGCTGAATGACAGAATCACAAATAACACCATGACAAGTGTTGATTCACAAGCATTTATCTAGGATCGTTGTTTCTAGGATTGTTTTCCACCTCCAATTTATTTTCCAAATGGGATTCCTCTCAGTTGCCATCACTCTCTTACTTGTGTGCCTGTGTTACTGACCCTGCTCAAGTTGTGTGTTTTGACATCTGGAAGCAGGAAAATGATAATTTATTAACCTTATCCCTTCCCTTGGCACTCATACATGCACATACAACTTTTGAAACAATACATAGCCTGAAATTTTCCAGCCTGTGCAGCCTCAGAGCAGGGAAATGAAAGATGACCTCCACAGCCCTTCCAGGATTTCATTCATCCATTCTACAGCTCAAGGCACACTAAAAACCTTTCTAAACTAGAGTAGACAGAATTATAAGTGTTAAATCTTCCTGCCACGCAATTAGGGTTATAGTTTAATTTAATTTCTTCCTAAACCTGCTGGGTGTTTCATCCCAGTGGGCTGTGGCTGTGTGATTCTTTCAATTTGCACAGAACTAGACAGAACTACAGTCATGCAAGGAGAGGATAGCAGCAGTCCTGCCCACACTTTGGTGGCTTAATATTGTATATTTTTGTGCATTTTACTGTGCAGATAAGCACTGCCAAAGTATGGCAGGATCCCAGGACTGGAAATAATCATGTATTATCAATGCAGCCTAAAACCAGGCAGTGTTTTAAGGCCCAAGGACAGTTATGTTATCTCCCAAGTGTAGCTCTCATTCATCACATGCTCCAAACATCTTTTTACAATTCATACCACAAAGAAAGAACCAGTTCTTTTCAGGATTAGCCACTCACTGATATAAGGGGAAAAGACATCAGGGAGATAAAACCAGCTCTTCATATCTGGCAAGGGAACAGCCCTACAGCATTTTCCTAACACTTTGTCAGGAAACTATTATTTGTTTTATTTTGGGTTTTTTTTTATTTATTTTTTTTTTCCATCATGGAAATCTCTTTAAGCACATGGAGAAGGACAGGAAACTGCCAGCATCACTTTTGAGGTTGCTAAATTCAAAGGAACCTGGGCTGAAGCACTTTGTCAGGAAACTATTATTAGTTTTATTTTGGGGGGTTTTTGTTGGGTTTGTGTGTTTTGTTGGTTGTGTTGGTTTTTTTTGGTTTTTTTTTTTTTGTGTTTGGTTTTTTTTTCCCATCATGGAAACCTCTTTAAGCACATGGAGAAGGACAGGAAACTGCTAGCATCATTTTGATATTGCTAAATTCAAAGGAGCCTGGGCTGAAGCACTGTGTCAGGAAACTATTATTTGTTTTATTTTTGTTGGGTTTTTTTGTTGGGTTTTTTGGGGTTCTTTTTTGTTTGGTTTTTTTTTCTTTTTGTTGGTTTTTTTTGTGGTTTTTTTGGGTTTTTTTTGTTTGTTTGTTTGTTTTGTTTGTTTGTTTTTTTTTCCCATCATGGAATCCTCTTTAAGCACATAGAGAAGGACAGGAGACTGCCAGCATCACTTTTGAGGCTGCCAAATTCAAAGCAGCCGGGGCTGAGGCAGGTGTGGCATCCGTGCTGCAAGCAGGGCAACATCACAACCTCTCCACACAGCAACTGCAGATTTGCATGTGCTGAGAGTCTGGGCAGGAATTGAAGAAGTCGTTCTAAGGAGCAATTTGGGGAGGCAAATGCAGACCCTGCTCAGGCTGGGATCTGCAGTTGGAAACCCTCTCCTCTGCCATCATGACCCTGAACAAACAAGTGCTGGTACAAATGCTGGTTTTATTCTCTCCTCTGCTTGCAGAAGAGCTCAGCATCGATCTGCTGGTGCTCAGGGGAGATAAACTCCAAATTCAGCTGGAGCAGGAAGGGGCTGGCACTGCTCCAGGGTCACAGATTTCCACTTTTTGCAAGGCTTTGGGATTGCCCTTCATTCAGAGTGCAACTGCCCCCTTTTCCTGGCCAGGTTTCCCTGCTGGCATCCACAGGTGTCCATTTGTGTTCCAGATGGTTCCTCTGGCCATCTCCAAACGGTGCCTTCCTCCTGCTTGCAGAGAGCTGGAATGGAAGGAAACATTCCAAATTTTCACGAGGAAAAGAATTTCAACCACCCTTCATCCGTAGCTGTAAATTCCTGATTGATTTGCCAAACTTCTTTTAACTCACTAACAGAGGGGGGAAAAATCTGAATGGAGCACTGAGAATAATTAGCTATTCTTCTCCACACATGAAGTATTTATAAGCAAATCATCCAACCTTGTCTATTCAAAGCAGCAGAAATGCCAGTGGATTTTATAAGAGATATTCCTGAAATGTCATCCTTTAAATTTTCATCTAATTCAGGGTGGATTGTTAACATTCAAGAGATAAGACCTACCCAAGCTCAACTGCTCATCCAGGAGAAAGCAAGAAATAAATTAAAGGAACATTTCAATATCGTGCATTTAAAAAAAAATAATAATAATAAAAGTGGGAAATAAATAATTTTTTTTCTTCGTGTAAAGAAATGAGGATTTCAGGAACCAAACTGTAAATGGAGATATATTAAACAGGGACAACAGCTGTCCTTCAAACAAAAACGTGTAGTCCTTAGAGAGCAGAGAAGCTCTTTACATAGAATACATACATTTAACACCATGCTCATGCACCAATAAGCAATGAGACAGAAGGCTGATTAATAAAAGAATAGTAGAAGAAAGAAAGCTGATTAATAAGAGAATATACAAGTAATCAGTGGAAGACAGAAAGATAATTGATAAGAGAATATATCAATAACCATCAGAAGACAGAAAGCGAATTAATAAGAGAATATATCAATAAGCAGTAGAAGACAGAAAGATAATTTATAAGAAAATATACTAATAATCGGTAGGAGACAGAAGGCTAATTAATAAGAAAATATACCAAGAACCAGTAGAAGACAGAAGGCTGATTAATAAGAAAGTATACCAATAATCAGTAGAAGAAAGAAGGCTAATTAATGAGAATAAACCAATAACCAGTAGAAGACAGAAAGCTAACTAATAAGAGAATATATCAATAACCAGTAGAAGAAAGAAGGCTGATTAATAAGGAATATACCAATAACCAGTAGAAGACAGAAAGCTAATTGATAAGAGAACTACGCAATTTGAGCCGAAATGCAGAAACACCGAAAATCTTTGAGAGACGCGCGGGCTCTGCGGACTACCGGGCGCTGTGCCTAGGACTACATTTCCCAGCAGGCCGCGCGGCGGGCCCGGGCGACTTCCGGCGGAAGCGGCGGGCGCGGCCCGGAAGTGGAGCCGCCGCCGAGCACCATGGCCGAGACCGACCCCAAGAGCGTCCAGGACCTGACGGCCGTGGTGAGCCCGGGGGAGCGGGGAGAGGGGAGAAAACCCTTCCTGGATGGGGCCTGGGGCTCCTGCTCCGCGGGAGGTGTGGCTGCCGGGGCGCGGGGGGGAAGGGGAGGGTGCCTTCATCCCGAACCTGATTTATTAAAAAAAACCTGGATACTGATCTAGTAGCGATATCCAGCTGTGACAGACAAAAACTCTGTAACAGTTTAAAGTTAGAAAATGTGTGTTTGTTGTGTGTGGGATCGCTCCCAAATCCACACCGCAGCTTCTAGGTGATTACAGAGTCTTTTTATCCATCCAAGTATTGAATACCAAAAATACAAATCCATATTCATCATTTTGGTACATCCTATTCCCCACTTCATATGCTAATCACTCCAAAAGCCATTCAGCATGAAGTTTGTTCATTGAAACGGGTTGGTGTCCCTTTCATGGTGAGGGGTCCCAAAATGAGGAAGTAAATGAAGTTTTTTCCTCATTCTACCTTTTCAATGACAATATGACAAATGAACTCTTGGTAGAACTCCCATTCCTTGTCTTCAACTGGTTTCAGAACAAAGGGGGCCAACATTGTCTTATGTTCCTAAAAGCAATTTGTCAGTTTGCGTATTCTTCATTATAAACCCAGCTAACTAAACATGGTGCTGACAAGCAATCAATTATTAGTTAACTCCTAACTTCATCAAGGCCTACTTGTTTCTTTTAATTAACTCTAGTAAGGCTTATCTTTAACTAAAATCTTAGCTCCTCTAAAATCTCTAAATTCCTTAAAATCTAGGTTTCAAACCATTCCAAACAAAAAAATAAACCCAAACCCAAACAAAAATCCTGGCACCCCAGAATTCTCTCAGGGATTGACGGGACCATGGAGGCTGCTGGGTTTCTAGATCTGACAAATATTTCCTGTAAGGGTCAGCTCACCTGTTTATTCATATATTTAATAGATCTTAAAAGTGTTTCCTGTAAGGGTCAGCTCACCTGTTTATTCATATATTTAAGTAACATTTTTACCTATAGATACAGCTGTGCTGGCAGGTTTTATTTTATGCTCAAAAAACCCACAGTGTAGTTATTTACATGGGGTTGGGTAGCAGCCTCTGGAGGAAACAAAACATTTCTTTTTTTATCCCTTTCCTTTAGGTGCAGACATTGCTCCAGCAAATGCAGGACAAGTTTCAAACCATGTCTGACCAAATAATTGGAAGAAATATCCTTTTCTGAGCTCAGATGGGGGCAGGACTGCAAGCCCCATGTGGATTACAAGTGTCACAAAGTCTGTTTGGGGTTTGTAGGATAAGTTTGAAGTGGCCATAAGTGTTTGCTGAAAGGTGTAAGGATAAAAACAAAAACCAAGGCAGCGTTACTCACTGTTAGAGGAACATTGTCACTTCAGAGCTGGGGCTGGGACAGGAAGGACCTGGAGAGAGCCCAGAGGCGGCTCCAGGGTGGTCAGAGGGATGGAGGAAAGGCTGGGAGGGAGAGCTGGGAGTGTTCACCTGGAAACAAGATTCAGGGGAGTTTCATTGCGGCTGAAGGGAGCCCAGAGGAAAGGTGGAAGGGGAGTGTTCACAGCAGCCTGGGGTGACAGGACAGGGAGATGGGTTCAGGCTGGAGGAGAGCAGGGTGAGGTGGGTTTGGGGAAGGAATGGTCGGTGTGAGGGCACTGAGAACCCGGCAGTGCCCAGGGCTGGGCTGGGAGAGGGTGGGCTGGGACAGGCTGGGCTGGGAGAGGCTGGGCTGGGACGGGCTGGGCTGGGAGGGGCTGGGCTGGGAGGGGCTCTGCTCCCCGCTGCTGCCCTTGACCCCCCCGCAGTCGATGACATGAGCTGCCGCATCGACGACCTGGAGCGCAACATCGCCGACCTCATGATGCAGGCGGGCGTGGAGGAGGTGGAGGGGGAGAACAAGACCCCAGCCTCCAACAAGGGCTAAAGTAAACTGCCTTCCTGGCCTTGGAGAAAATCCCTGGGTGTTTGGATTGCTGCCTGTAGCACAGAGGGAGCTGCTCCTTGCTATGGGGGGCTGCTCCTTGCTTTGCTTGGGGAGCTGCTCCTTGCTTTGGGAGCTGCTCTGGGAGTGGTGCAGAGGGGAATTGTGCTGGAGAGGGAGAGAGCAAGGCCAGGGAAGGGAATGGAGCACCAGGTGCTGCTGAGGGAGCTCAGCCTGGAGCAAAGGAGGCTCAGGGGACCCTCCTGGCTCTGCACAGCTCCTGACAGAGGGAACAGCCAGGTGTCAGGCTCTGCTCCCAGGGACAGCAGGAGGAGAGGGAACAACCTCAGGCTGGGCCAGGGTGAACGTAGGAGGGATTTCCCCGTGGAAAGGGGGCTCAGGGATTGGAACTGCCCAGGGAAGTGGTGGAGCCCCAGGGGCTGCTGAGGAGTAGCTGTCCCTCAGCTGTAAATTCCTCCTGTGTGTCATCTGGGAGCTTGCAGGGAGCAGTGACTCCCTCACAGCTGCCAGGCTGCAGGTCCTGGCTGTGTGGGAGGGCATGAGGCAATCCATGTCCCAGGCAGTGCTCCCTGGAGGAACACAATTCACCTTGCAGTAAATCTCTATTATATTATATATTCTTACAGCTTTTCTGATTGCCCCTATATTGCAGTAGGACTGTGTTTGGAACAGATATGTTCTTGCTTGTTAAGGTGTCTATTTTTGTGTTACTTTGTTAATAACACAAATTATTACTGGCTTCATTGCCCTCAGTGTCATTTCCATTAGCCTGAACCCCACAAATGAAAATCTCTGATGAGCATGATTCTCTTAATTCTCAGTAATCTCCTTTCTTATTTTTCCCCCAACAGGTTGCCCACAACTGAAGTCAAATAATGGAAGATTACTTTTTCTTTTTTTCTACAAATCGTTGGAATTAAAGAATGGCTTTTTGCAACTCCAGTGTGTGAAAGCAATTTTATATTGTTACAGAGCTTGCATTCTTAATGTACATTGTATAGTTGGGGTAGGGTAGTTTCTATTTTGGTCTGTGTACTGTAATTTCACTTTTTGAATTCTTGTAACAAGGATCACATGGTTGTGTTATTAAAACACAGATCTTATGGATCTCAACTCCTGGGTGTAGTTTTTTGTGGAGTCACTTTTTTCTCTTTCCTGTACTTTTCTAGATGTTTCATGTTTGATAGCTCAGCATTTAGTGACTCCCTCCAAACGGGAATCTTGCCTTGTCCTACATGAGTTTGTGGAGTGAAGCACAAGATTGAAACTTAATTAATTGCATTCATTATAGCTCTGAGCATCAGGCACTCACTAGTTGAGGATTGTGTTGTCTTTCATACATGTAATAACGGTGATTTTTGGAAATGAGACACTGAACATCAAAACCATCTCTCCTGCTGCTGGTGTTACCTGAGCTGTGTGTTCCTGGAGCATCACGGAAATGCAAATTTACCATGGGAGACATCTGAGCAACCACTGCCACCCCAAGCTGTGACACCTGGGCAGACAAGGAACTTTAACAGAGCAACCTCACGTGGGACTGAAGGTTTCTAACTCTCTCTGGCATTATTGTGGTCAGTAACTGGGATTGATGCTGGACAGAGCAGGGATGGCATTGTGGGAATCTCTGTGGGGTTTTCAGTGGGAATCACTGCCTTGTTGGACACAACATTTGCTAGCAAAGCAGTGATGCATGAGGAACAAAAAAGGAGAGAAGCCAGGTGGATTTTTACAGCCTTGCTTCTCTCAGAATAACAAGTTCAAAATAATTGATTTTTTTAATTTGCTTTTCTAGTCATACCCACATCTTTGGGCCTGGAGTATGTATTACATTTTAGCCATGGAAAGTGTGGGAGAGCCTGTACTGTGTCACTTGTGAAGAAAAACGACCAATGTCAGCTATTCCTGACAATCACTGCAATGCTCCTCCAGCTTCAAATGCAAATTTCAGCAAGCACTAGTGGCAGGCAGCAGTTGCAGGTGGACCACACTTCAGCTGCTCCTTAAATGCCACCAAATTAAGCATTTGAGTGCTGTGAAGGCAATATGACAGGTCATTTTTCCAAACTCACTGTAATAAAAGCTCATAATAACGGGGGGAATTTTGTGAACATGAGAAATGTATCAATATACACTTGTAATACCAGCCTTAGGTCCTTTGTAATGTCATTTCAAAAAAAAAATCTAATAAATGGTTATGTGGTAACAAATATGTCGTGTGTTACAGCACAATCTAGCAGGAGTATATAATTATGTGGGAGATTGTGTTTAGTTGTAAGTTATAGAAAGACTTTAGCACAGCTGCTGCTCACAGGATAGTCTAAAAATCCAGGTGTGCTCTGTATAATAAAAGGTGATGATACATGCCCTGTCAGAGCTGGACTTCAGCAGCTAATTAGAATAGAGGGAAAAAATAATTTAAATAATTATTTACAATAATTATAGAATATATATAATAATTATATAATTGTAATATAATTATAGAAAATATTAATTAGAATATAGGAAAGCAGATTAAAGTTGGATAATCATTTTGTATGATGTTTATACAAGTACATTCTCATTATATATGATATATAATGTTATCTGCTGTGTTCCTCCCAGGGCACACATGGTCAGTGCTGAATTTGCCTGCACCCTCCCCTGTGCAGCAGCAGCCCTACTTTCCTCAAGTTTATTCTGGCAGAATAACTTCCAGGAAAATTATTTCAACTTTAAGAAGCAGCTGTATTTTTCCAGTCACTGGAAAGATTCCAGTTGTCGTTCAGTAGGGGTATTTTTCCCTCATAAATGTAACACTTCACTGATTTTAGCTGCTCTTCCCTGCACCTCCTCTGCATTTCCATTACCATCCTCTTCCAGCCCAGCTTCTCTCCCCTCTGACCCTCCAGAGCCCCACTTCAGCTGTAGATGCTGGTCTTGGTTTGAACAGCCAGGTGTCTGCTGGGGAAGGCAGGAGCCTCCCCTGATACGGAAAATGCAAACCCCCTCCCTCTGAATTGTTATAATTTTGAAATGAAGGGGCTCTCAGGAAAAGATATGGGAATGGGAATAACAATTCTTTATTAGGAAAAATTAAAATAAAAATGCAGTAATAATGAACAACACTGCCAGAGTCAAGCAGGCCCTGTCCCCCTGTGGGTCAGGGTGGTGGCTCAGCCCCATCCCAGGGTGGCTCAGCCCTCCTGCAGTGCCAGCTGTGCTTCTGCTGGAGCAGGATCTGCACAAGGGGGGAGTTTTCCTCTGGAGCTCCAGGGCTGGGGGAGATGGGCCTGGGCTCCTCTGGGAATGCAGTGGGAAGAAAGCTGCTCCTCTGGGAATGCAGGGGGAAGGAAGCTGCTCCTCTGGGAATGCAGGGGGAAGAAAGCTGCTCCTCTGGGAATGCAGGGGGAAGAAAGCTGCTCCTCTGGGAATGCAGTGGGATAAAGCTGCTCCTCTGGGAATGCAGTGGGGAGAAAGCTGCTCCTCTGGGAATGCAGGGGGAAGAAAGCTGCTCCTCTGGGAATGCAGGGGGCAAAGGCTGCTGTGCTGTTCCCAGGTCAGATTGTATCCAGGTAGGAATTTTTGGTTCCTCCCCTGGGCAGAACATCTCCCCATGGGATGATGGAATTTTCTCAGCCATGCAGGGACCCTCACTGGTCATGAAGAGAAGATAATTAATAATTAATGGCCCATGAACAGCAGAGATCTCCTGGAGGGAGGATTGGGTGTGGGAGTGATAAAGAAAACTGCCCAAGGAACAGAAATAAGTGTCCCACCTCTGACAGATGGCAACAGAACTCACACCCCCAGCCACACCTTGCACTCCCAACCTAAGACAATGCTCTTTCACACAAGGTCTGCATTAGGGACAGCAGCAGAATAAGTGCTTTTCTGTGACAGAAATTAGGAGTGACCTAATGCAAGTCTTCAGCCACAGATTGTGCAGGCAATCCTTAACAGTAGGGCTGGTTTTGAATTAAGACCTGACAACTGAGAAATAAGTCAAATATCACAGGAGCTGTGTGGCCTGTGTGTTTTGCACTGGCCACACAAATAAATTTGACATTGCTGTTTTCATCTCTTGTGGTTTCCTAATTCCTGTCTTTATAGCAGGAATGTTACTCTGGACAGAGGAGCAGCGTTCTAATAAATGAATGTTTTGAAACATTTCGGCCTACTGATGAATGATCCAGAACTGTGATATCCTTAAGAGGATTTTTCATTTAATCTCTGCCCTAAAGACAACGTACAGTAAATAAGACTGCAGCTTTCAGCCAACAGCATCTGGTGCAGGCACTAAATGAGGCTGGAGAGAGCGAGTGACACAGTGACCTGTGACCCTCACCCAGGGCAAGAGGCAGCTTTGGAGCCTCCCTTCCCACAGGGTGAGCCCAGCTCCCTCAGGGTCAGGCAAGTGTCACTGCCTGCTGTAGGACTGAGGAATTGTTGGGCTCCATCCTGCCACTCTGGCACTCTGGTTTTGGCAGGGAGCCTTTGTGCCAGCTGATGTTTCCTGTCCTCCTCTAGATTTGCTCTCGCAGCACCCCCAAGAGAGTTCCCTTGGTTCCCTTCCTTGATGCCTTGGGAAGGCTGACCTAGAGCAGAAGCTGGGCAGAGTTACAGAATAAAGCAGGGATTTATTAAAGGATCCACCTTGGGCAGCGCCAGAGCCCAGCCAGGGATGCACCCAAGATGAACAAAATGGTCCCAAAATGAACCCAAGGTGAACCAAAGTGGTCCCAAAATGAACCCAAGATGAACCAAAATGGTCCCAAAATGAACCCAAGGTGAACCAAAACGGTCCCAAAATGCCCGAGCGCTCCCGGGGCTCTCCCTGGGATCAGTTCTGCTCCATTGGCACCTTGGAGTTCATTGTCCCATTCCAGCTCCAGCCCATCAGTCCCACCCTGCTTGTTTTTCTCTCTCCAGCCCACGCTGTTTGTGCTGCTGGGCTGAGGTTTGGATCATTTGTCCTTGGTGCCCAGCTGGAGCAGGAATTGTTTTGTCTCCCTGCTCTGTGCACAGAGCTCACCACCCCCTGATGTGAAACCCAGACCCTCACACTGAAGCAGCACAGAATGTGAAAAATAGAAAAGCTAAACCTGAGGCATCATCCTCAGGTGGCTGAGACACAGAGAATTGGTTTGCCAGAGGTTCCTGTGGAAATCAGATGTCACCTGCCTGTCCTCCAAACCCTGGGCAAGTGCTGGAGTCACTCCCTGGCCCTTCCTCCAGACCTCAAAGCTCGTGGAATTCAGTCCTTCACGCTGTAAATACATTTGGCTCTGTCCTCCAAAGGGAAATGGTGTAGATTCTGTAATTTGGCTGGCAAACAGCTGTAACCACAGCCAGAGCTTCTGCTCAGCATTTCCCTGATGTTACACCTGAGCTTGCATTTTTCCTGGAGGTGTCCACATGGAATTATTTAATAAAAAGCTTCTCTTTTCCCGACTCTCTCTCTAGCTGAGAGTGCCTTCTAGTGGCACAGTCACTGCGAGGAGCAGCACTGCTCAGATTAATTACTGAGTTACCTTTAATGTGGGGTCAGATGCTGGGGCTGTAACGAGCCACATGCTGCTGAACCAGGGGGATTGCACAGGGCACTGAGGATGGTTTACAATTCAGAAAATACAGAGGATGCATCAATCACTTTCTGGGCTTTAAGCTTCAGTGTTTTGAAAAGACCTAATGCTCACTGAGATATTTTTTTCTCACTCTGATGTAGAGTTAATGAAATTAAATTAGGAAAATAAAGAATGAGAATAGATACTTTACCTCTTATAAACATTCTGAAATCAGAAAGGTTAACCAGGAATTGTATCTCTGAAAAATGTGCATGTGATAATAGAATGTGCTCTTTTACATTGTTTTCTGACAGACCTAACATTTTGTTTATGAAATTCTTGTAGTTATATACAGATATAGAAGTGGCTTCCGTTTACAGAGCTGTGCAATGTGCAATCCTTGCTCGAGAGATTCAATCCTGTAGGGACTAACAGCTGGAGAAGTGAATTTCTCCAGAACTGCAGGGGAGAATGTGACGAGTGTGGCTGACTTGCGACCCTCCTATGTCCAAAGGAAGGATCTCACCCTGCCCTCTGAATTGCCCTGGATCCCAGCTCAGACAGCCCCAGTGCTGCTCACAGGGATTCCCTCTGGGTGCAGCACAGCTCTCAGGTGTCACACGTGCTGTCAGGGGGAAGGTGCTGGCCCAAACGCTGTCCGGTGGCACAGGAATATCCTCATCCCAGCTGGATTGAGCACAGCTCCTGTCTGCTGTCCTGCCAGCTGCCATCTCCAGCTCCAAGTGCTCCCCCTGCAGAGCTCCTCCAATTTTATTTTTTCCTCCTCAGACCAAATCCTTCATCTCTGAGAATATGAATTTCCCAGTAAATGAAACTTCCTGATTTCACTTGTTTCTCTCACAGAAGTGTTCTCTTTTGAGGAGCAGCTCCTTGGTTCCTGGAGGGGAGGATGAGGTCAGTGGCTGAAGGAGTGGAGAAGACAGACCTGTCACCTTTTCCTGTTTATCCACAGTCCCTTTGTGTCCCAGAGCTCTTCCCTCTTGTGGGAACCCAGCACATCCCTCTGGCTGCCCTGGTTGTCTCCAGACCCTGGCACGAAGTCAAAAACACCTCTGGCTTTGATTTTAGCCCATGGAAAAAACTGCCAACTCTGTATGAGGAATTACAAGCCACAAGGGTGTGAGTAGTGTGGTAGCTGAATTAACACAGAGTAAAAAAGTAGAATTTTGGGGTTTTAAGATAAGGGGTTCAAGGGGAAAAGATGGAGGGATTTGGGTGTGTCCTGACCTTCTTCTGCTATTGGTTTAAGGTAGAGACACTGTCCAACATAAATTATAGATATTGGCACAGTATTGTAAACATAGTACAGGTAGTTTTTGGTATAAAATGAAACATCGCCCTAGAGTGTGGACAGAATGACATGGACAACTTGCTAGACAGAGCTCAGCAGGTCAGAGAAAGAATGTTCTAGATAAGGGAAAATAAACAACCTTGAGAAGCCAACCCTGCACATTCAGAATTCTTCTTTGGCTGCATGAGCTGGAAAATGAGGACTTTTACACTCTTGAGGTCACTTTGATGCCCAGACCCCCAAGACCTCCGAGGCCCAGGGCAGCAGAAGAGTCACAGTCACAGAATCCTAGGATGGTTTGGGTTGAAGGGACCTTAAAGCTCATCCCAACCCAACACCTTCCACTATGCCA